GTTTTAACACAATTATAAAGTCCACAACTTTTGAAACTTAACACTTTGGTCCCTTACACAATTACATAAGGTCAAATAACTTTTAAAACTTAATACTCTGGTCCTTTGTGCACTGATTTTCCAAGAGATAGAACGGGCACAAGAACAAGGTCGTCTTCCTCAGGGACGACTCAAGGATTTAAGGACAAGCGTTCCTTGCTTAACACTTTGGTCTATTATGCACTAATTTTCTAGAATATAAAACAGGCATGAGAACTTGGTTATGCTCCTCGGTGACGACTCAAGGATATAGGAACGGGCATCCGTCCTGATCATAGGGATGGGCATCCCTTGCCTTTGTTGTATTCTGTTCAACATTTCCCCTTAAACTAAACTCCATTCTTTTTCTTCTGTTCTACTTTCACTTTCCATCTGCTTAGCACAATCTGCCCAAATGCATCTTGTATAGCCTTGTCCACATTGTTAGTTCTTATGAGTTAATTATCAAAGCAAAAATTGTTGACAAAAGCATAAATTGATTCAATCAATTTATTCATGTTTACATCTATTCTGTTTTTAAGGTGGCATGTTTATTATTGCCGAGAAAAATCCAACATCTATATTATAATCTCACACAATTGTAGTCTCACTTGTAACAATCTAATTAGTTGCCCAGGGATAATTAATACTTGAATGAGTCATGCAGTTGAACGAAATATATATTTTGGTATTCCTACCAATGGTACCGCTGAGATATTCTTGGCAGAAGCAACACCAAATTTAAATGCTTATATCCTTGAACAAGTATATATAAATATGTCAGAGACCATATGTCTGTTTCAATTATCTACAGCCGTTGTTATCAAACAGCTTCACTATTATTCAAGTTNGTTGACAAAAGCATAAATTGATTCAATCAATTTATTCATGTTTACATCTATTCTGTTTTTAAGGCGGCATGTTTATTATTGCCGGGAAAAATCCAACATCAATATTATAGGGCATGTTTGGCTTATTATTTTTATCTATATTCCCAATCCTATTCTCCAAATAATGTTTGGCACATTATTCCAGAAATATTACCGTATTTTTTTAATTACTTTAGACCCCATAAGGTTATTAATTTCATCAAATACACCCTGAAAAAAAAGTTTAAAAATTATCAAAAACACCCCCGCGACCCACACTTGCCAGATTCCGACAACCACCGTCGATGGTAGCCGGAATCTGTACAACGGCCTACCTGCCGACCAGAAATGGCCAGAAGTTCACCGATCTGACCTTTTTCGGCCAGATTCAATACGGATCTAGCCGTGAACGACAGCCAAAGAAATGGTCGTCATTGAGGTCAACGACGGCCAAATCTTGGCCATCGTTGACCGAAAACGACGGCCATATCTTTGGCCATCGTTTTGGCCTTTTTCGGCCGTCGCGGCCACAACAGGCCATAGATCTGACCTTTTTCGACCAGATCCGTGGTGGATCTGGCCCATAACGACGTGTTATGACACAGATCCGACCGGTCTATGTCGTAACACGATTTTTCGGTCAGATTCTGACGGTGGTGGCCAGAATCTAGCACTGCAGGTGGTGGGGGTATTTTTGTCATTTTATGTATTAGGGTATTTAATTAAATTGCAAACCTAGGGGCTTTTTCATAAATTTTTAAATTTTACCTCGTAATATTCTCCTATCCAAATACCCAATATTATTTTCAAAATCATATACAAAATAATAAACCAAACGCACCCATAATCTCACACATTTGTAGTCCCACTTGTAACAGTCTAATTAGTTGCCCAGGGATAATTAATACTTGAATGAGTCATGCAGTTGAACGAAATATATATTTTAATATGCCTACCAATGGTACCGCTGAGATATTCTTGGCAGAAGCAACACCAAATTTAAATGCTTATATCCTCGAACAAGTATATATAAATATGTCAGAGACCATATGTCTGTTTCAATTATCTACAGCCGTTGTTATCAAACAGCTTCACTATTATTCAAGTTCAAAATTAATAAGAATCATTTTTAAGTCCTATAATATAGTTTAACCTCAAAGTTATCATTTAATTAGGGAAAGGTAAACAAATACTTAGCATTATTCTTTATCATTACGTAACACATACCACACATGTCCCATATCAGTGAAACATATTAACCCATGATCGTGGGTTGAAAAATGGTTAAATCAATCTTAAGTCTGTATATCTTGTTTATTAAAACATATCGTTAGATCAGCTGCAATATTTAGGATAATGTTAGCCCTCAAATGAATCGTTTGATTATGATCCAATAATCTAAATGGGATAACTCATTATCGTATCATAAAATAATTATACCATATCATGTGGTTAATAAAAAAAAAAATTGTTGTTACAAAAATTACTCAATTGACCTTAACAGAATTAAATAATTTGAGCATGACTGAAGACAATCAACAAGAAATTAATAAGAAAGTAACAAAAACGATTTTTAAAGTAGTCTTGTGAGTTCTAATCAATATTACGTCCACTGTTATTTTATTTTAAGTGTTTTGTTGCCTTACAATGATAGTATCTATGCTCTCAAAAATGTTCAAACCCTTTACAATGATTTTCAAGGATTTAACTGTTACAAGATAGATTTTTTGGATAATGACATGATTTTCGGGAGATAATCCCATGACCTTTGGCATGATTATCCGACCAAAATTGTAAGAATTGTTCTCATTATCTTCTCCTTAATTTTAGAGGATAATGCTTATCCATGATCCGGAAGATAACTATCCACCAGCTCTTCCAATCAGATCGCCTTTTTACTAGTTACCCCGAGCTACTGCCTACTTACGGCTCACACAACAAAATTATATAAAAAAATTAAGATTAAATAAAATTACATAGAATAAAGGGTCTCAAATCTAATCTCTTCCCAAGAAATAATTAAAATACTAATAAATTAGTGTCTCGCCTTCAATTTCACAACATTTTATCGTAAAAATACAAGAAGAAACATTATAGGTACAATATATATACTAAATTATTTATATAGTGACTCGATAACATTTAATTTTAAAATCTTTTCATGAGTATATCTTAATTATCATCATGATTTATCGTTTTTACTATGAATTTATTTATTTAACAGAACTCCATGATATGTTGTATAAAATAGATAACATGATAGCGCAGTTGTGCATCAAAAAATTAAACCTTACATAAATGGAATTAATAGAATATTGGGGAGAAATCGAAGGTATTGAGTAAATATGGTCATCATATATAGTTGAGCAGGTGATCGTGCATATAACATTATCCGAATCTACAATGCAATTTAATTCCCAACTTAAAGTAGTTGTCTTTAAATGTTCATTAATTGAAAGAGAAGGGCATTAATTTGAACTTGTCTTTCCAGTTTTCAGTCACATGCTTCTTTAGCGTGCCCCACACTTCCTCTTACATTTAATTATTATACACTTAGAATTGAAATTTTTTTGTAAATGTTTGAGATTTAAACATTGAACCAGGACATTGTCAGAATAGGAAAAATAAACAATAAGGTTGCCTTATAAGCTAAAATATATAAAATGCATGGAGGATACAAGACGTTGTTTTATTTGTCCTCTTAACATCAGGATAATTAATTCCTTCCATTTTTTTGTTATGTGATTGATTTAAAATAGGGCATACGATATCTGAAAGCAAAGTGTCAAGGTGACAGTAAAGCAACAATCACAAAGATTAATCACCACTAGGCCGTAAGCTGATTATTAGTTGAGATAAGTATAAATTGGTCTGATAGTTTCAAGGTCTTGAAATATTAGTTGAGATACACGTAAGTTGGTTTGTACCCCCTTGATGATTAAACAAAAAAAAAAAAAAATCACATAGATTTTAAAATGGTGTTTAATTACAATCTAAAAGTAATTTTAGAAAATTAAATACAGTTTATAAAGTTTTAAAATATAAATTGAATAGAATCCTAAAGGGAATAACCTAATATATAGTTTTTTTTTTTTTTTCATTATTTTTATATTATGAAAATCTCCTTTGTGCAAAGAATCGTATCTAGCGTACTTGATGTTGGAACGTGTTTACTCAATTTAAATCAAATAATTTAAGGCTTTAAGCAGTGTAATATTATATGGTATTTACTATTTAGGCAGTATCCGTACATTATATTGACAAATGTTTGGGTGAATTAAATCCAACCATATCAAAACAGAGTCCGGGTAGGTGGTGCAACCTAACTAAATGTGTTTATACGATAATCTCGTTTACGGGGAGGCGTAGCCCATTGATCCCAACGGGCCTCGAGTGGACTAGATAAGTTAATAAATACGACTTTAAGCCCAAAAATTAATTCACAGTTAACATTCGTCTTCTGCTCTTTTACTAATTTAACCCTATTGTTTTATTTCGTTAAAAAAGGACTAGTTGGGATATTAATTATAACATTTTTTATCACCTTCTTAAAAGAGAAAGAAATTTTTTGTCAGTGAAGCTTGGGATTCTATCTCATAGTTGTAGTCCTAGTACTGTTTTGGTCTTCAGCGTTGTAATTTGGAGTCATGCGGTTGATTTGATGTGATGTAATTATTTTGTTAAAACAGTGATATGATTTTGTATTCAAAGCTGCAAATGGGCAGAAAACCTCTTAGTCGACAACCATGCATTACATACATACAACATTGCAAATGAAGCTAGAAGGTGCACGTGACCCAGAATCATAGGCTGAAATTTTTTTGTATCCAGCATCGATCATTGGATTCTCAATTAGTGAACGCCAATCGAAGCAAAGCGACAAAGCATCTAAATCTCACTCTCACCAAACCAATTACATTAAACATAATAATCTTTGATCAATTAATATAAATTATTATTGAAGTTACAAATATATGTGCCTGCCGGTGTATGATTTCTGGTATTCAATTAATTAATTGTAGAATATGAAAAAAGGATCCCCAAGAAATATGCTCATGTACGGGCATTATGATTTGAATCTAAAAAATACCACTCGTCTCATCTCATCTCTTCTCTCTCCAGCTGTCCTCTTCCCCACACCACAACTATGTTCTCACTCTCACTCTCTTCCCTCTCTTTTCTCCTCCCCATCCTCATATACGCCGCCGTCGCCACCGCCTCAACCCAATTCATTAAACTCCCATTACTCCACAAAACTCAACATCCCAATCAAAACTCCTTCTCTCGTTCCCACCCCCACCCCCACCCCCACCACCACCGCCACCGCCAAACCCTCAAATCCCCCGTCATTTCTGGAGCCTTCGCTGGTTCCGGCCAATACTTCATTTCACTCCACATTGGCTCACCTCCTCAACCCCTCCTCCTCGTAGCCGACACCGGCAGTGACCTCATTTGGGTCAAGTGCTCTGCCTGTCGCAACTGCTCTCTCCACTCTCCCCGATCCACTTTTCTCTCTCGTCACTCCTCTTCATTCTATCCTCACCATTGTTTTCAATCCACCTGCCGCAACCTCGTTCCTCACCCTCACCCCAATACCTGTAACCATACCAAACTTCACAGCCCCTGTCGTTACGAGTACTCTTACGCCGATGGTTCACTTACATCTGGATTTTTCTCTCAAGAAATAATAACTTTTAACACTACCACTGCTCAACAACTTCAATTCAAAGATTTCAACTTCGGATGCGGTTTTCACAACTCCGGTCCAAGTATAACGGGCGGAAGCTTCAATGGAGCTAATGGTGTAATGGGCCTCGGTCGGGGGCCCATTTCGTTTTCTTCTCAACTCGGTCGACGTTTCGGTAACAAGTTTTCTTATTGTCTAATGGACTACACTCTTTCTCCACCACCTACAAGTTTTTTAGTGATCGGCAGTGAACAAAACGATGTCGTTGGTGTGAATTCTAAAATCAACTTCACTCCGTTGCTTATGAACCCAATATCTCCTACATTTTACTACATCGGGATCAAGAGCGTGTATGTTGACGATGTCAAGTTACGGATTAACCCTTCCGTTTGGTCAATCGACGAGTTAGGTAACGGAGGCACGATCATTGACTCGGGGACTACTTTGACGCTCTTAGCAGAGCCAGCATACCGTGAAATATTGACAGCATTTAAACGGCGAGTGAAGTTACCGAGTCCAGCTGAACCGATTCTGGGGTTTGATCTATGCGTGAATGTTTCTGGCGGGTTGAGTACAAGTTATCCTAAACTGAGTTTTGAATTGGTCGGCGGCTCGGTGTTCAGGCCTCCGCAAGGGAATTATTTTATTGAAACGAGTGACCTAGTGGAGTGTTTAGCGATGCAACCCATTAACCAGGAGTCGGGCCCTTCGGTGATTGGGAATCTGATGCAGCAAGGATTTTTGTTTGAGTTTGATAGGGACAGATCGCGGCTGGGTTTTTCACGTCATGGGTGCGCCATACCCTAAGTTCATGACTCATGACCCAGTCAGTCAAACAAATCTTGTGGGCTTTTATTTATTTTTTATTTTTTACAAATATTATATATATTATTAATTGATGCCAAATATTAAAAAGTAATGAATTTTGGGCATTTTGTGTTGGATTCGGTGTATCTGATTAATACGGACAACAGGACAAGTGTTTGGGGTTTGCATTTCGGTACGGGGGATTCATTGTTGGATAGGAAGACTCAGTTGCGAGCTAACATATTCCGTTTATAAGAAAAAGTAATTGAGAAGGATTTATAAGTGTAGTATTAGTATTTGTAATCGATTTTGTTGTCTCTCTCTCTGCCTTGTATGTAATTTATGAATATTGTAGTCCCATTATTTAAGAAAAAGTCATTGAAAAAGGTTTATAAGTATAATATTAGTACTTGTAATAGATTTTGTTGTCTCTCTCTCTGCCTTGTACATAATTTATGAATATTGTAGTCCCATGATTTAAATCATCTTCCCTCGGGCAATACCGTCTTAACTACATACATTTTACAAAATCTTAATCAAAATGAGTAATAACATATCCCAATTTTATACCTTGTATTTTGTATTCTACGTAATGTGGCATTTATATGGATAAAATGATTATGTAGTGTATAATTTGTAGCTCTAAATTGGTATCTTATTACTTATTTAGTATAATTTGGAAAAAAAATTACTACTTTATAATAAAATGTTATTTAACAAGATTATGTCTTGCTAATACATAGTATTAAATTTGAGCAGCAAACCTTGTATTAATACTATTTAAAGTGAAAATAGCAATAGAATATTAGAATAGAAACATTATATTTTAAACTCAGTATTATCAAATTTTATTTATTATATGTAATTGGATTTAAACAACCTCGCTAGCCGGGTTGCCCATTTAATACTTTATCTTAAATTGAACACCAAAACATTACTACACTCACGTTCCAAGTCCTATAATTTGGAAGAAAACTAAAAACATGATCATAAAAACCAATTTCTAAAGCTCAAACGTCAAATATATATATAAATAACAATAAAACAAACAGAATTATGAAAGACAGAAAATATATTCTGAATTAATGCCTATCAGCATTACACACCAAATATATAATTTCCATTTATTTTAGAAGAAATATAATTTTGCTCAAGGATTTTACAGAAAAAAAGAGAGGGAATCTTCCTTTTTTTTTTTTTTTTTTTTAAATTTTAGTCAAATATAAAATATATTTTAATTAAAATATTTCCCAAAATTTATTTACCAAATGTAGTTATTTTTAATAAACCCTTAAAATTAAATTCACAAAGTAATGTTCGAAATTTTATAAGAAATAAAATTATATATCTATTAACTCATATGGCAACAAACATAGACGAAACAGAGGTGAAGGTGATTATGACAATTTTGAATTTTCCCAATGTTTAGACAAATTAAAGACTGTGCATTGTCCTATTTCAGTGGATATTTGTGCATCTCCATAATTTAATGCGTTTTGAAGCAACAGTGTCTAGTAATAAGTGGCATCCACTCGCCCAACCAAAAACTGTCAATCACACTAATTCCTATTGGTACTGGGCAACACTGTCCCTCTGCTGCCATTGCTCACGGGTGCGAGCGGGATGTTCCTTATAGAAGACATTTATTTTGCTTACACCACACTGCTGTGGCCCACGGCGGAGCAGCGGCGCCTTCAATTGCAAGTTATAGTAAACAAATGTCAGATCACTTAATAGTTGTTTTTCCACAAAGATTCCTTCCCCTTTTCAGTAGCTTCTTAGACAAATATCTCTCAACCCCAATAATTTGAAGCACCATCACATGTCTGACTCAAAATTCTAATGGCGAACTTCTGCAACTCAGGATATTGCTCTCCAAAATCAGACCACCATGTAATGGAAAATTCAGGGAACATAATTAAATATACAGGAATTTAACCAATTCAAAATATTGAAAGCTGTACACAATCTATAAGAATATGCCAAATAAAATTTTAATTTAATCGTGTCTCCTTTGCTTGATCCATGTTTCCTCTATATATATATCTCACTTGTAATTTATCAGCCACATTGATCAAACACTGAACATGCACAAGTGATATTAATGATCCTTCACTAAATTAACAAAGATAATTGAAAATCTTATCCTTGTTAAAATAAAATAAATTTAACAGGTTGAGGTTTAGGCTTGGCAATGATAAAATTCTGTAAACTTTTGGTGGACATGCGCCGACCGAAGTTTGCTCTAAAGACAATTTGGTATCCCAAAAGTTTGAAAATGATAATAACCCACCAACCGTTAATTTTGTTAGACAATTTCCCACCCTATTGTTAAGATTTGTTAATAAAATCTGTTTAAAGAATGATAGAATAGTCATTTTACATACAGTTGAAAATAGTCGGACGATTGCGATGAATCCAGCCGGATTCTTTGCCAAAATCGACGGAATCCATCACCTCAAGCCCATTTGCACAGCCCTCTTGCCTCATTGATCGATGTTTTGACTGGATTTGACTTTTTTCCGCAAAGTCCGGTGACAAATATCACTAACGCTTGCTGGCACGCGTTGGGAATGGAGGTCGCTAACTGTGACCTTTTGTTGAGCATGTTGTGTGCGTGCTGGAAAATGTCGAAGAAGGGAGCCTTGAGGAGCGACAGCAACCCAAAAACACAACTCACAGAAGCAAACAACACTTCAATAACAAGATTTTCAACAACCAAACGAGCCAAAGATCATCAACAAAGGAGTGGTAGGTTGCTAGGTTGGTTAGGGAATTTTCACAAACAGTTGGAGGGCGGGCAAACACTGAGTGCTGGACAACAAACAGCGAGTGGGGAGGAGCGATGGGAGGTTGGGTTTCGAAGAGGGAATGGTGAGGATTCGAATGGTGGTGGAATGGTGGATTTCCAGTGTGAATATTGACCAAAATCCGACCTCAAATATGGGTAGTCACAAGGAATAACATGGCCACATTTTCGCGATTAATGGGTGCACCGGTAGCAGGATTAGGTGGGTGGGTGGATGGAAGAGGTTTTGGGTGGAAAAATGGTTGGAAATATGGCCAAAACGCTGGTGGCAGAAGTTGTTAATGTGCGCTGTCGAGAAGAAGAAGATGGCTGTTGACATAAAAACTCTTTTACTATTTTTTGAATTTACCAAGTCAATGGACAAAATTAACGGTTGGTGGGTTATTGTCATATTCAAAATTTTGGGGTTCCAAATTGTCTTTAGAGCAAACTTCGAGTGGGAGCATGTCGTTCGGCTTAAACTTTTGGTGGTATTTGATTAAAATGTAGATAGTTGTCATGAGAATGATTATTTACAAATTTATGAGAAAGTAAGGGATAATTACTTAAATCTCCTGAGGTTTTGTCTAACCTAGTAAACCCCCCAAGTATAGGTAATAACACAAACCCCTATCATCTGTCAGTTTTCATTAGTTTTAACGGAGGGAAGGTGAATGACTTTAATGCCCTCACGTTCCCTTGCCCTTCTTCGTTCCCACTCGTCATGCTTAGCAACTTCCCTCCCACACCCACACCCAAAAACCTATTTCTCCTCCTTCCTACAAAACCCAAGCAATACCCTCCTTCTCTCCAGCCCAGCATCATTCCACAACAATACCAAACCACCCGTAAAACACAACTTGAATAAAACAGCAACCCATCAAGCTGCTCACCGCCACCATAATTACACAATCAAAAACCACCAACTCTCCCATAGTCATTTCAAAATCCAATTCAACAAATTATAGGTACATATTCACAACACTCATATCATCGGCCAAATTTGAAGAGGGAAAGAAGAAAAAACATTCAAAATAGGATAAAGATTGACTCACAACCCAATCTTACAAACTTTCTCTCACAATCCCGATGTTGCAGTTCGCAATTGATTATCTCATAAATAGGTTTTGCCTGCTCATTGTAAGTCTCACTTGCCTATTTGCGAGTTGACTAATTGCGAGTTGCCACGTTGGGGTTGTGAGAGAAAATTTGTAAGATTAAGTTGTAAGTGTAGTATTACCCTTCAAAATAAAAGGGTAAAGAACAAAACAAAATTTAAATTAAAGAGGGAAAGAGATAAGGGGTACATGGGGCTCATGATGGTGGGTGCACACTAGTTAGGCTTCGTCAATAATGGGTGTATAGGGCTCATTCGCAATCACTTCTATCAACTTCAAAATAGTCGAATTTTGCAAGTAAGGTTTTAGGGGATTCACGCATGGGGGATCTGCTAAGGGGATTCATCCATGGAGAGAGATGAGAGAAGTGGCGAGATTAGTGGTTGGATTATCGACAACGGCATCTGGGCAGGATGGAAGGCGTCAAAATCAATGACTATGGTGGGCATGACAACAACAGGTGAAATCGAACCAACAATGGGAGAACACATGGTGTCACTTCTCAACGTTTGGGGGCGATAGGTGTAACTTCTCAAAGTTTTGGGTGGTAGGGTGTAACTTCTCAAAGTTTGGGGTGGTCGTTGTAACTGCTCAAATTTTAGGTGTGGTGGGTGTAACTTCTCAAAGTGGGTGATAATGGAAAATTTGATCGACGACAAGAGAATAGATTGAGGAAAAGCAACGAGCGACTTGGCTGGAAGAGAGGTTTAATCGATGACAAGACAAAACTCGAACAAAGGAAAAAGATGAAGCCTGAACAACAGAAGTTGAGGAGGGTCATGATCGAAAAAAGATGGCTCACGGTCGAGAACAATGAGAAGTGTCATGATCGAGAGGAGGAGAAGAGATGACTCAGGCCAAGAGCAGCCAGAGGATCAACGGTTGAGGTGAAGGGAGGCATGACTCAAGCCTAAGAAGGCGGTGGCGTTGGCTATGTCAGAGGCTGGAGGCTTATACAGGTGAGTTTGCAAGATTGCAAAGTTGAGGGGTGGCAGTTGATAGGAGAAAAAAAAAAAAAAAGTAACCCTTGAGACATGGCGAAAACTATTAGTTTCCAGAGTTCAAGGGCACAAGAGAAAATTGCCGCTTTGATACAATGAAAGAATATAAATGAGAAAGTGTATATTGAATTTAATGAGATGTTACAATAAAACATCCCAATATATAGGAAAACCTAGGCACATAATTTATGAAATAAAATCTTAAATATACACATAATAATAAAATGAATAATACTACACATACAATATTTCACATACAACCACAATAT